TGCTGCTGCTGCTGCTGCTGCTACTGCTGCTGCTGCTGCTGCTGCTGCTGCTGCTGCTACTGCTGCTGCTACTGCTACTGCTGCTGCTGCTGCTACTGCTGCTGCTGCTACTGCTGTTGCTACTGCTGCTGCTGCTGCTGCTGCTGCTACTGCTGCTGCTGCTGCTGCTGCTGCTATGCTGCTGCTGCTGCTGCTGCTGCTGCTGCTACTGCTGCTGCTGCTGCTGCTGCTGCTGCTGCTGCTGCTTACTGGCTTGATAGCAGCAGCAACAGCTTCATCTACTTTTCTTTGTCTTTGTTTTATTTCAACTGAAAATGTTTGCCGCGTTACACCTAAAAAAAAAACACAAACCCTAAACCCTAAACCCTAAACCCTAAACCCTAAACCCTAAACCCTAAACCCTAAACCCTAAACAATAAACAATAAACAATAAACAATAAACCCTAAACCCTAAACCCTAAATATATTATCTTTATTTTTTTGTCTCTTTTTTACTGCTTTTACTATAAATTTATTTCCGTCTCTATTTATTTATTTATCTTTATTAATTAATTTATTTATATATTTTTATTTATTTATTTATATTTATTTATATTTATATTTATTTTTATTTTTATTTATTTATTTATATTTATTTATATTTATTTATTTATGTTTACCTTCTTTTATTTTAATATCAACGAAATTTAGCTGCTGCAGCGCAACAGCCATTGCTACGGTGTCACTGCAGCACGGCAGCTGCTGCAGCACCACGCGTCTCCTGCTGCTGCTGCTGCTGCTGCTGCTGCTTCTGCTGCTGCTGCTGCTGTTGCTGCTGCTGCTGCTGCTGCTGTTGCTGCTGTTGCTGCCGAAGGCAACCCAAATAGAAGCGAGGAGAAGCACTCTGTTAGCAACAGACTTTGAGCCTGAACGCAGCAGCAGCAGCAGCAGCAGCAGCAGCAGCAGCAACAGCAGCAGCAGCAGCAGCAGCAACAGCAGCAGCAGCAGCAGCAACAGCAGCGACAACAGCAACCGCTGCTTCAAAGGAAAGCACTAACCGGACAAGAAGCGAGAGGCGCAGCAGCAGCAGCAGCAACAGCAGCACCAACAGCAGCAGCAGCAGCAGCAACAGCAGCAGGAAACAGCAACAGCAGGAGCAGCAGCAACAGCAACAGCAGCAGCAGCAGCAACGCCAACAACAGCAACAGCCGCGGCAATAGCAGCACCAGCAGCAACAACAACAA